CTGAATTGCAATTAGTTTGCCCTTGGAATAAAAGTCAATAAAAGCTGATGTGTTATACCATATCTAGTACATTGTAGGCACTCAATACATATTGCTGAATGAATCAATGATAGCTAAATGTGTAACATTCACAGCTTAAAAGGTCTTTTCATATACTTGTTTTCATCAAATTATCATAATATATAAGCATAAGATTGTTTGGGTATTAAGAGGCTGTATTATTATCATCATCATAACAACTGAGATGTATTAAACTTCTCCAGTGTTTTTCCCAGTTGCAGAGTTTAAAAATACACAAAAATAGCCACTGGTGTTTTAAAAAATAAAGGCAAAAGTGAGTGCATGGCTTGTGTTTTAAGAACAAAGTAATTATGGAGATCATGGTAATTACCTGTGGGTATTGGTAAAGTCGTTGCAGTTTGATAATTATACCCCATTTCAGGTTCAGATTAGAATGTTCCTTTAGTTTGCCACAGAGACTACTGTTTAAGAATCAGACTAAAACCTGGAATGAGAGGAACTCTTCAGAATTTAGTAGCATCTCCAGGTTTTTGAAGTTTCCATTCATTTCTTTTTTTAAAAAAAAAAAATTTCTTCGACAATCCACATTTTATTTATTTTTTAAAGATTTAATTATTTATTTATATAAGAACCGGGCTACAGGCCAGATGCACTGGAGGGTGAGAGGATTCACCAGAGACAGAGCAGGGAACAGAACTGGCAGACCGATGAAACACACAGCTGAGGGGAGCAGCGGGCGCGACAGGAGAGGTCTGCTATGCCATGTGGGACGCTCACCGGCTGGCCAGGATCAAACTGGCGCTGCAGAGGCAGCGGACAGCTTCACAGCACAGCGCTCAACCACCTGCATCATCAGGGGAGGCCCCATTCATTTCTTTTTTTGTAGCAAAAACATTTTAAAGTATAAAAATTTTAAATCAGTATATCCTTTTATTTCCAAATAGTTGCGCCAAAGAGGTTTAAACTGATTTAAACCTAGTGCAGTATTAAAATGTAAGTAATGACTCATTAGTGGCACATGAGATGAATTTAGTGTGTCATCCCAGTAATTAAGAAAAAGTAGAACAGAACAGAACAGAATGGAAAATACTGGAGCACGATGATGCAGCAGGTAAGGTTATGTTGTTTTGAGAAATCTTTGTTTCAATTGTTTGTGTGTATTTACTGAGTTGTGATGTCAAATTTGTTTCCCACCATGATTATTTCCCACAGTGGTGTATGTTTTCTACTGGATGGGGTCAAAAAGTTTGAGAGTCACCATCATACTATAGGACAAAGCAGTCATTTGAGTGGGATTAACTCCTAATTATCACTTAATAATATTGGTTTACTAACTGGATAACATTGTACTTAGTCTCAGTTGGGGCCAGAAATCCAAATTTCATGATCATAACCCCAGAAGCATAATCAACACCTGACTCATTCACCAGATTTGCCTTTAAATAGCATTTCATTATTTCCAAAAATCACACCTGCCTCTAAATGATAAGCAATTGCTACCCAAAACTATGCAGAAAAATTTACCGTAGATTCTGAAGCCAATATCAAAAAAGAAATTTGAAAAATGTTTTGAGCAAAAGCAACATCACTAAAATTAGATGCAGGTTACTACTTTTCAGGGTTGCTCCTGAAGTTTTTGTTTGCACATTTATCCTATTTAATTATAATTATTTTCTCCCAATGAGACTGAGCCCCAATTCTACAGAAACCCTTATTTTATTATTCCTGTTTTCTTCTTGCCTGTATGTATATGTCTAGAACATAAGAGACCCTTAATAAATTTCGTCAAGAAGACAATACTCATTTGGATAAATATATGCTTTGAAACATATTATGTGACTCAAGGTCAAAGCCTGTGCTAAGGTTGTTTATGCTTCTTGCCCTCCTTTAAAGAATACAAGCACTGGGTACAACTCAACGTCTCTCAGTTCTACAAAACAGGACATTATTGAAGTTTAAAATCCACAACTTGTAAAACCAAAGGAATAAAATTAAAAACAAAAATGAGATACTTGGATAACAAATAATTGCAGGTCTAAGTAGGGAAATGAGCAGTCAGACAATGTTTATAATAGGGAAAATTGAGGACAGTAGTTTGTAAACACATATCAAAATTCGTTAAGTGTCTTTTTTTGGTGAGGAAATTTTGCTTCTAGCGCTTTCTTTTATGGAAAATTTAAGACTGCAAATATGAATGCAGGGCTATTAAACTCAGTGCTGTTTACAAAAGATAAATGTTTAATATTAGATTAGCAAGATAAAGTTTGGCGTCAAAAGTCTGAAATAGGGGAAGTAAAACCTTAGTAATTAGTAAAAGCTTATTGCATTCATATCAAAAAGTGTTCAAACCTGGAGCATTCAAACCAAAACAAGGAATAAAGCGCAGGTGTATACTGTTAAAAAGTAGCTTCTGTGAGAGGGCAGTGAGTACTTTCTTGACAGTGAGCGGTTATATTAGAATTATCTCAAGATAGGGAATCAGTTGTTACCTTATGTCAACCTTGGAAAACAGGTTGTTTTGCTTATGATTTCCAGAGCATAAAACAAGAGATGACCTAGGTCAAGTTAGTCTTGCAAAAGAAACTGAAAGAAGCCTTGTTTGTATAACTGAACTGGTTTTGTCTGCTCAAAGAATTCTCAAGGCTGGTCATCCTTTGTTTTTTATTTTAACAATGGTAATTCTCATAATAAAATAATATACAACCATGAAAAATAATGATGTTCAATTATGTTGTCATAGAAAGATGCTCAAAAACATACTGTACATAGCAGGAAACAAAGTGCAAACACAGAAGAGCATTAGAAATATTTTATCAGCGGCCTCCCCTGGTGGGGCAGCGGTTGAGCGCTGGGCTGCGAAGCTGCCTGCAGCCTCTGCAGCGCCGGTTCGATCCCCGGCCACCAGCGAGGGTCCCACATGGTGCGGCAGACCTCTGCCGTGCCTGCTGCTTCTCCCAGCAGTGCATTTCTTCGGTCTGCCTGTTCTGTTCCCCGCTCTGGCTCTGGTGAATTCTCTCGCCCTCCCGTGCTTCTGACTGTACCCAGTGCTTGTATAAATAAACAAATCTTTAAAAAAAAAGAAATATTTTATCAGGTGAAATTCATATAACATAATTGCTTTACATTGACTCTAGCTATTTAATTATTTGCAGTGTACAAATCTTTCATTGGTTGTATGTTGTTTTATTGAAATAATTACATTATAATATTTTCGAAGTTTCCGATGTGCATCATTATAAATCAATGTCTGTGTACTACATTAAGTTCACCACTAAAAGCCCAATTCATTGGCTATTTAGTACACTGACAATATTGGTAATGCCCACCCCTGCCCATTTCCGTTTTTATCACCCCAAAAGAAATCTAGCACCCATTAAACAGTTGCTTCCCATTCACCCCTCCCCCAATCCCTGGTAATCAACTTGTATTCGGTTTCCATGGATTTATTTATTCTGGATATTTTATCTAAGTGGACTCATACAATATGTGTATCTGGCTTCTTTCACTTAGCATAATGTTTTGGAAGTTTATCTACCTGTGGCAGTACTTGATTTCTTTCTATGACTGAATAATATTCCAGTATATGTATAAACAACGTTTGTTTGTTCAGTGGTAAATGGTATTTGGGTTTTCACCCTTTGACTATTGGGTACAGCGCTGTTGTGAACTTGGGTGTACTGCAGAATCACTTAATACGAGAATCATTGGCAGAGAATAAATTCAAGAACATTAGCGGAAGAGGACTCTTTTTTTTAATATTCAGAGAATTGGTTTTAGGATTAAGCACTTGATATCCTTCCTGCGTGAAGTGAGGAAAATAAAACCTACCTAATTGGATTATTATGAAGAGTAAATAAAATATTAGGTAAAACATTTAGAAATGCGTGGGGGCCACAGGGTAAGTACCATGTATGTAATACTTCTTAAATGGTTTTTACGTTTATTTAAAACATTTCCCCCGTTGGAATAATATTGGTGTGAAACAAGCTTTTTTTTTTTTTTTTTTTAATTTTTTGGCGTGTTTGCATGCTGTGCACTTAAGATGCATGTTTCTCTTGGCTGAGCGTCATTTGAACTGGTGCCAATCAAAGACTGATTGTTTGATCTGATAACATCACTCTGTCTAAATATAGTTCCACATTGTAATTCTCCAAGTTTCAATGAAAATAATGTTCCCAGTAGAGTATCCTCCAGTCTCGGGCATGGTTCATCTTCCTTTATAACAGTCTGTTTGAGAATCGCCTTTATATGTAGCGTATGCAACCACCCAAGTTTTCTATCTTAGCAACCGGACAACAGAGGACTGGCGAAGGGCTGGGGCTCTCTCGCACACAGCTGGAAAAATACTCTGTGATCAGGTTTTACCACATATATATGGTGAGGGAAAAAAAAAAATATATATATATATATAATCTTCATTCCCCAGAATATTTTACTCGCAAATTTTAGTTTTCATGGTAAACTCAAACTTTGCCAAATATGCACATCCAGCGTACAGCTGAAGCGTTACAGTTCCGAGTCCGCGGGGCGCCCCCCATCTGGGATTTGGGGAGTGGGAATTCGCGCCCGCCGCGCCGGAGCCACCTCAGCGCCAGAGTTTCGAGAGGAGCCCGCAGACCGGGGCGGCGTCACGTGGGGAGCCCGCGAGGGGACAGCACCTCGGGGTGTGGGCCCCCCTCCCGGGAAGCCGCCGCCGGGGGGCTCCACCCCGAGCCCGAACCTGGCGGCTGACTGGGGCCTCGCGGGGAGGGGCGCCCGCCGGCGCGGCACAGGTGTCCGGGGAGCGGCGCCGGGGCGCGTGCGGCGGGCGCGGCGCGAGGGGGGCGGGCGCGGCCCGGGCGCGGGGGCTGGGGGCCCGAGGGGAGGTCCCGCGAGGTACTTGTCGGGCTCCTCCTCGGCGCTCAGGTTTCCGCTCCCGCCCGCCGGCTGCTGGCTGCGGCGCCGCCTCCCTCCCTCCGGCGGCTGGGCCCACTCCGCGGCCTCTGCCCGCCTCGCCCCCGCCCGGGCCTCCTCCCGCTTTCTCTCATCTCCGCTTCCCCTCGAGCCTGCGGAGGAGCCCGCGGCTGCGGGGCGCCCGGGAAAATGGCGGCGGCGGGACTCGGCGGCGGCGAGGGGGGCGCGGGCCTGGGCGGCGCTGTGGGGTCGGGGCCGGGGTCGGGGCCGCGCGAGGACGCGGGGGGCCCCGCTCCGCCCGCGCTGCACCCGGAGGAGGTCGCCGCGCGCCTGCAGCGGATGCGCCGGGAGCTGAGCAACCGCAGGAAGATCCTGGTGAAAAACCTGCCCCAGGACAGCAACTGCCAGGTGGGACGGGGCCGGGAGTCGGCGCGCCCCGGGGCAGCGGGGCTGGGCTGCGCGCAGAAGTTGGGCGCCCCAGGCTGGTGCCGGGCGCCCGGGACCGGTCGGGGAGCGGAGGGCGTCGGCGCGGGCTTGGAACGGCTCCTGGCTCTTGCCAAGTCCCCCGGCTTTCTGAGCCTGCGGCCAGCGCGCGAGGTTGGCAGACTGGGAAACTGAGGCTCGGAGGAGGAGGCTCGTCCTAGGTCACGGGAAACTGGGGTGACTGCCTTGGAGTCCAGTCCGCGCTTTCCTTCGGCGACGGCCCTTGGGTGTGTTTGGGGAGCGGGGGTCGGGGGGAGTCGTGGAGGGAGGGAGTAGTTGGTGAGGGAGAATGGAGGTGAGCTTTGCCACACAGATTGGGGGGGCGGCTCTGAGGGAGCACCTTGAGAGGGCCGGAGGGTTCCTCCTGGGGTCCCCCGGACTGTGGGGAGCCTTGTGGGGCGGGATCTCTGGAGAACTGGAAGTGAGTTTTGATGTTGCAGAAGCGCTTGACCAAGTTTGCATGGAACAGCTCTGTTGCCTCCTCGCTCTGCTGAGGGCCCTGGAATAGAGGGCTAGTGAGTGCTCCCTGAGGAGCCTTGCAGGGGTCTGCTGCCTCAAGCATTAGTTCCTGGGAGACTCGGAGGCGGCTTCCAGATGGCTACTCTATGTTTTTGATCCACATTAACCGTGGCTTTAAGATTATGTTTTGCATCTAGTTAACTTTTTCCCATTGATTGCCAAAGTTGCATGCTCATTGCAGGAAGTTAGAAAACACTAAGAAGCGCAAAGGGGGGGGGGGGTCATAGAAATCATCCTTATTTTTGTTACTTACAGATAACCATTTTACATTTTCTTTCTCTATTTTCCTATGCTTATGTATGCATATGTATTTTTGTTTTCAAAAAATGAGATAATTTGATCATTCAGGGTTTCTTAGTTGCCTGGATGTTCACAATATTTTATATGTAACCTGAATTTATATATTTTGTGCATGTGGAGGGTGGTCTGCTTGGGTAATTGCAGATTTGGCCCAGTTGATTTAGTTCTTTCTTGTAATCGGATGCATGGAATTGCAAGCGGTCTGGCTATTGAAAGTTTCAGGGCAGTTCTTCCATATGACCCATAAAATAATGGAACCATAGCCTCCTCACTGTGTAATTGTGTGTCCACTCAAAATAAATGTGAGCAAATAATCTTACAACTTACATGCGCGAGGGGCCATTTTGTCTCAAAAAGCGTTATGAAAAGTCTGTCAGTATTGTATATCTCATCTCTCAAGTCTTTGCATCATTGTCGATTTCCCATCTGATTGGTGATGCTGCCTATAAGGACACGTGCAAGGGACTGATTTCATAGAAGCAACTTACCTTGCCCATGCAAGTGAGCTCAGAAAGAGAGATCTGGAAGAGACAGATGGCATTAAAAAAAAAAAAAATTGAAGAAATGGCAGCTTGTTATGGAGATAACCTAGAAGAGAGCTAGAGAAGTGCTTTGATTTCCTTTGCAGACGACTATCAACTAGTCTTGTTATCACGTTTCCTTGCATTAATTCTGAAAAATATTTAAACCCCTATTTGTAAATAATTCTTACTCTGCTTTTAGTATCATTTTCCTTTTTGAAAGACATGAAAAAAAATCAAATTAGTAGACATGGCTAATAAAGGGTTTTCATTACATAGCGTTAGTAATGGAGAAAGGTTTCATGAGAATTACACTGATTTATATTTTTTTAGCTGTTCGTTCTGTTAGGAATCTATGGCTCACCTAATCTTGCCATTTTTTGTGTTGTAAAATTAGCAAGCCTAAACTATTGAATGAAATTGGTGTAAGATGAGTCTTTTACTGCCAAGTGTCTTAATTTTTATGTTAATAAGTCATTTTATTGAGAGGTGACAAGTTTCATCTAAAAGCAAAAAAAAAAAAAAAAAGTGGTCAGGACCTAGAGACTAGTTTCTAGATTGGTCATAGCCTTTATTCTTTTCTGTAATGATTTCCATAATGAAAGGTTGGTTTTATTTTTTCTGAATGTATTTTTAAAGTTTAAATAGATTGATTACAGATATCATTTGTTAAATAGTGCCTTTTTTTCCTACTTTCTTCTGTGCTTCTACCTTTGCTCGTTTTCTGGTCACCATCACCTTATAATTATCAGTGGTTTGTTACGTAAAGAAGTAGAACAGCAAAGAATGCTATTTCTAATGCAATGAAATTAATTGCATTAATTAATTAGATTGAGAATTGGTGTTTTTGTTGGTCCAGTAAAATTAACATTTATTTCATCCACTTTTTCTTATATTTTTTTATATGTTCTGCAAGGGTTTTTTGTATTGTCATTAGTTTCCTTTAATTCTAATACCTGTTTTTTCCTTAATGGTTCCATTTTATTGTAAATTTACTAATGAAGGTTTAACTTTATTTTGTACATTTTAGCCAGTATCACTTGGCTAAACTATGTATTTACCCTTTACTAAATGGATAACATGGTTTTTAGAAGTTTGAACTTTTTGCTCAGTTCTTAAAGCCAGTTGTTTAAACTACTTAAATTCTTTTCTAGAGGGCCTTCCCTGGTGGCCAAGCGGTTGAGCTCTGGGCTGCGGGGCTGCCTGCGGCCTCTGCAGTGCCGGTTCGGTCCCCGGGTGCTGGCGAGGGTCCCACGTGGTGCGGCAGACCTCCCCTGTCCCACATGGTGTGGAAGACCTCCCCTATCGAGCCCGCTGCTGCTCCCCTCAGCAGTGTATTTCATAGGTCTGCCTGTTCTGTTCCCTGCTCTGGCTCTGGTGGGTTCTCTCACCCTCCCGTGCTTCTGGCTGTGCCAAGTGCTTGTATAAATAAAAATAAATAAATCTTTAAAAAAATATATATTTTCTAGAATACTCCTTGTTCACTCATTCTAGAGTCTTTCAGTCATTCTAGAGTTCACAATAAGGATCAAAGTCATGCATCACTCAAGTTCTTTTTTTTAATAAATTATTTTATATAATTCTTACATCATTTTTCATTTTTGCATGATGTATGCATTTTCATTTTGGTTATATTCCCCATACAATTCCCACCCCCTTTTTCTGACCCTAATCCCTCTTCTCCTCCCCCTGCCCCCCATTGTGTCTCTGGTCTATAGTTACTTGTTGATTTTGATTTTCACTTTATTGCAATTAGTCTTTTTCCTGGTCTCTTTTTTAGGTTTTCTAAATTCCTGCTATGTCACTCTAGTTCTTAAGTTATATAGTTTTGTTTCTAGAAAAGCTACATTGGTAATTGAGCCCAATACTTTTTTCTAAACATTTTGAAAACATATTATTAAATAAATTATTATTCAAATTTTGTTTAATTTTTTTATATAACAGATTTACAAGCATCCCGCATCTTTACATTTCCTAGGATTAGACGGCACACCGAAAGTATTAAGTGGAAGCTTTTCAAGGTACATATGTTAAGTTCCGTACAGAAGTGTTAGCTGTAAAAAAATAATATCCTTATTCTCACCAGTTCTCAAAAGCTGTCTCACTGATTTGTTAACTATGCGGCCAGTCAGGTGCTCTCTTGTCAGCCTTCTACACTTTCTAGAATGCTAACCCTGTCTCTGTAGCTCCAACTCTGGTGCAAGTCCTTGTGGTCTCTTCCACAGCCTGTTACAGCTTGTCTGTTGGTCATCTACCCTCATTATCAATTGTTTGTTTTTAGCCCATTCTACTTCTTCCCTTAGCTTACCAAATCTCATGATGTCACTCTCCTGCTTGAAAAAAAATACCTGCTTCTCAAACTTTTCCTCAAATGTTCCTCAATTTGTCTGTTTTTCCAGGAAATTGTAACCTGAATTACCTTTATTACAGGAGTGAAATTGCTTTAAAGCTTCAAGTTCTGCCTTAAAAATTCATACTAATTTTGTTATAGTAAAATTGATCTTAATATAGTGACTTAAACGTACTGAACTCACCTCCAACTTCCCCCCTCCCAAACTTGACACTTACAGAAGATGCAACATGTTTGTCTATGATTTTTTCATACTGCTCTGTTACCATGGACTATTTAGACCTTGGTTTGAAAAGAATGGCTTGATAGGAAAGAAATACAAGATTTTAGGCTTTTTGTGATGTGTCCCTTACCTACATGTCCAGTCTCATTTCTTGTTAGTCTTGCATTTGAGTCTGTTTTGGTTTTATCAAGCTTCTTAGATCCCCAAGTATTTCACTCTGGATATTTATGGTCATGCCTTTCAAAATTAGTGTTTTGCAATGTAATTATAGTGATTAATAGATCATGAATAATATTTATAATTATAATAATTTATAGTGAACAATAGCAATGTTGTGAACACTGGTGCCTATTCAGAATAGCCATTGTGTCTGTGTGTGAACAGTCACTTGCAACTCTGAATTTAGAATTTCATCAGCTAATACCCTAATACATGGTTTTTACTTCATGTCTATAAGTTAGCGTTATCTGTGGTTAATCAGAGTGTTTTACTAACCTTGTTACTGGGTCTTCAAAATGGAAAAATTATTGGCATTTTTTCCTATGTTTTAGTGCATTCAGTTCTTTTCATAAATGTTTTGTGTGCCGTGTTTTGGTTTTGATGTATTGTTTATTTTAAAATCTAAAAGGTTTTGTTGTGCATTAGAAGAAAATATGAAGTATTTAAGGCACAACCAGGATGTAAAGGCAGGATTGGGCACAGGGCAGGTTTTCTATGATCCCAGCAGGGGTAAGGGAGGAGTCAGAGTCCTGGAGCCCTCAGTGGCTTTTGCAGCTTTTATTGGGATTTACCAGGCACACGGCAGGCAGGGGGTCCGGTGGGCCAGGAAACTGGCAGGCCTCCCAGCCCCCAGCAAGTCCTCACTCTATCTGGGCCCTCCTGCCTTCTCGCGTGTTCTCTCTGCTGCTTCTATCTCTAGATTCTACTTCTCCGCTTCTACTGGTTTCCCCGTGACGCCGCCCTTAAAAGCCCAGTCTTAGCCCAGGTGAATCCCATCTACCTAGGCCCACAC